GGCTCCCTGCTCCTTGGGAGCATGCTTCTCCCTCTGCCTCTCTCTCTCTCTGTCTCTCATGAATAAATAAATAAAATCTTTAAAAAAAAAGGGAGTCCAGTTTCCTAGGTATTTCTTAGTTCTTCGTATTTCTGGATAAATCAAACAATATTTTTATGAGAAAAGCAAGTTATTCATAATACATAGTTTTATATTCCTTAACTGAATAGGAGATTTTAGACCCACAAGAGGCCTTCATAATAAGAATTGTATGTTTTAACCCTACAATTTCCACTCTCTCCCCCAACAAAATAAAAGCCACCTAGCTTAATAAATTGTACATAACAAACAGGCAATCTTCATTTGTATAAAATCCTTTCTCCCCTCTTAGGGTTTTACAGGTTTTTTTTTTTTCTTTTTTTCTTTTTGGGGGATTTTATAGTTCTTACAAATCCACTATGTATTTCATGTGATCATAATTTAAATAAATTGTAATCAATGGACAAGTGCCAATGATAAGAAAACAAAGTGAGGAATCAAAGATCCAACACAGAAGAAAATGGACCTGTGTTATTTATCACAGTAGGGCTAGGGCATAGATACGCGTAATAAAAGTGAACTGATAGAAATCGTGAGACATATTTAAAAACACTGCCCTAACAGAAAGCACAAGAGTCTAGAGGAGGCAAGGCAGGAAATGACAACAAAACCCAAAACACAGAAAACATTACTCCAGTTGCATTATTATTCTTGGGAACCAACACCACATCTACTCCTATACAGTCTATGCTTCATGGATGAAATACAATGAAGCCTTCTGGGTCTACAGTATCTAAAGCAGGTAAGAAAACCAGTGACATGTACTTCTGGATCCTGAGTAACATGTTTAGCAGTTCTGAGGGCCTGTGCACCTGTCATCATGACCCACACACCCCCATTTTTCTCTTCAATACACACAGGAGTCTTCATCACCAAATTCTCAGGTGATTTTAAGTCAGCTCGCTCATATTCCTCCCTGGCACTTTTGTCTTTTTTAATAAAACAGCACAATGTAACAAAACTATGGCCAAAAAATATAATAATTGAAATAGTATAACAAGTAGTAACACATTATGTTTTGGATAATTAGTTATTTAAAAAACATGTTGGCTGTCAAATGGCTGGCAAGAGTCCCCTTGCCAGTTGGCACATTTTCCAGTTACCTAAACACAGAAGTCAGCTGGGTGGCAGGTTCTCCCTCTGACCCCACTTGGCAGGCTTTAACCATGTATTGCAGGTTCTCTGTGGCCAGCCTTTTAACTAGGAGGAAAAATTATAGCATTACACACTGTGTCTGAATTGACCATCTGGATCCTCATTTTTATGAACACTCTTAATTTAGAAAAATATGTTGTTTTCTTAAAGTTTATACAGCTTTTTAATTATTTTTCAAAATGAAATAGTTATGAGTTTTTGTTTTGTACTGAAGTGCATCTATCTCCTTATCTCCCATTTTAAGAAAATATAAAAAGCTTGAGTATTTTTTACAAGCTGATAACTGAAAAAATACATTTGAAGATAGGTCTCTTAGAAAGAACCCATATTCAAAAATATTTTATCATCCTGATCCTGCAAGCAGTTACATACTGACAAAAGATAGCCTTTAATCATTCAGCTGATTTACAGATAAGCAGATAGATTTTTTAAAATTCATAGGCATATTCTTCCCACTCTCTAACAAATTAGAAACCACCAACAATTTACCTTCGCTCAAAATTAGTCAAATATACATATATATACACACACACACATAAATCAACTATTGGTGATGCTATCTTTTCAAAAAAGACAGCAAAGTTACATAAAGAACATTTGTATTCTTTAAATATTTAACTAAGTCATTTAAAATTGTGCATTTCTCCAAAAAAATGGAATAATATCAAGAAGGAAAATAGAAAATTCCCTATGTTCCAAATGCTACTGAATTTTTGTTATGTTGTTTTTGGCACATTAAATGTAAGTAGCTGGGGAGAAAGTGCTTTGTCTAAGAATAAAAAATAATTCAGAAACTCTAATCCATTATACCAGAATAAAACAGGATACATATGAACTGCAATTAATTAATATGTACTTAGTAATGTTCTCTACGGCATGAGGATGGTGGATAAAGAAGATGTAGCATACTTGTCTTTATTGAACTAATAACTCCTCATATTAGATAATAGTTCTGAAGTCAGTATAATTGGTTCTTAAAAGACATTTCCTTGAAAAACTTCAAAAGCTCCTCTGTGGAAAAAGTACCAGAATATGAAGAAATAGCCTTCACAGAGAATTAATAGTAAGCATTGGGTTTTTATAAGTTTTATTGAGGTATAATTCACATATCATAAAAACCAATCTTTTAAAGTGTACAATTCACTGGTTTTTAGAATATTCACAGAGTTGAGAAGGCATCACCACTAATTTCAGAGCAATTTCATTACCTCTCCAAAAAAACCTCATTAACAATCATTCTCCACTTTCTTAATCCCCCAGCCCCTGACAACCACTAATCTTTGTTTTGTCTCTACGGATTTAAGTCTTCTGGAAATGTCTTATAAATAAATAGAACCATACACCATGTGGTCTTTTTTTTTTTTTTTTAAGATTTTATTTGAGAGAGAATGCGTGTGAGTGGGGGGAGGGGCAGAGGGAGAGAGGGAAAGAGAATGTCAAGCAGACTGGGCACTAAGAGTGGTGCCTGACGTGGGGCTTGATCTCATGACCATGATATCATGACCTGAGCCAAAACCAAGAGTCGGATTATCAACCAGCTGAGGCACCCAGGCACCCCTCCATGTGGTTCTTCTGTGACTGTCTTCTTTTTACTTAGCATAATGTTTTAAGGTTCATCCATGCTGTAGAAGGTATCAGGACTTACTTTTGAAGGCCTAATAATATTCCACTGTATAGATATATCCCATGTTGTTTATCCATTCATTGGTGGATGGACATCTGAGTTGTTTCCATTTGGAAGCTATTATGAACCAGGATGCTATGGATCAGTGTTACAGGTGTTTTTTAAAAAAAAAACTATTTGCAATCTTTATTTAAGTGAACTGAACTTTTTTAAAAATTGAGTTTTTGTTTTTTTAGTTTTTCTTTACATTAACAGCTTTAGTGTCATATAGTTCACATTCTATACAATTCACCCATTTAACATGTACAATTCCATGATTTTTAGTATAGTCACAGAATTGTGGAACCATCACTACAGCCAATTTTAGAGTATTTTCTTTACTTTGCAAAGAAACCTGATAGTCTTTTGCTATCACTCCTTATTTTCTGATACACCCTAAAAGCAACCCCCAATCTACTTTCCATCTCTACAGATTTCATATTCTGGACATTTCATATAAATGGAATCATATAATACGTGGTCTTTTGTAACTGGCTTTTTTCACATAGAATAAAGTTTTCAAGGTTCATCCATGTTGAGTAGCATGTAGCAGTACTTAATTCCTTTTTACGGCCAAATAATATTCCATTGTATGGAGCTATCACATTTAAAAAAATCCATCTGTCAGCTGGTGGACAGTCTACCTTTTGGCTCTATGAATAATACTGCTATAAACATGAATAAACAAATTTCTGTGTGGACATGTGTTTTCATTAATCTTGGGTATGTACCTAGGAGAGACACTGCTAGGTCACAGAGTAACTCTGTTTAAAACATCTGAGGAATGACCAGACTATTTCCCCAAGTGTCTATACTATTTTACATTCCCACTGGCAGTAATTGAGGGTTCTAAAGTCTTCATGTTTTTGCCAAAACTTGTTATTATCTGGCTTTTCCATAAGAGCCAACCTAGTGAGTATGAAGCGGTATCTCACTGTGGTTTTGATTTGCATTTCCCTAATGACTAATGACGCTGAGCACCTTTTCAAAGGGTGCTTATTAGCCATTTGTTTTATTCTTTGGAGAAATGTCTATTCAAATTCTTTGCCTATTTTTAAATTTGTTTTTTTTTTTAAATTACTGAATTATAACAGTTTACTTATTCCAGGTATAACTTCCTTATCATATAAATGATTTGCAAATGTATTCTTCCATTCTGTGGGTTATTTCTTACTTTCTTGATTGTCCTTTGAAGCACAAGAGTTTTTAATTTGGATTAGTCTAATTTATCTCTCTCTCCTGCTTTATGCTTTTGGTGTTGTATCTAAGAATTCATTGACAAATCCAAGGTTATGAAGATTTACTACCATGCTTTTTTCTATGAGTTTTATAGTTTAATCTCAGACATTTAGGTCTACGATCTATATTGAGTTAATTTTTGCATATGGTGTGAAGTAAAGGTATAACTTCATTCCTTTGCATGTGGATATCCGTTTGACCTGGCATAATTTGTTGAAATACTATTTTCTCACCACTGAATCATTTTGGCACCCTTGTCAAAAAAAGTCTGTTGACTACAGACATATGGGTTTATTTCTGGACTCTCAATTCTAATCCATTGATCTATGTCTATCTTTCTGCCAGTACCACACTGTCTTGATTACAGTTGCTTTGTACTAAGTTTTGAAATTGGAAAGTGTGTCTTCCAACTTTGTTGTTGTTGTTTTTTTTTAAGACTTATTTATTTGAGAGAGAGAGAGAGAGCATATGCAAGGGCAGAGGGAGAGGGAGAGAATCTCAAACAGACTCTTTGCTGAGCATGGAGCCCAATGTAGGACTTATCTCCTGATCCTGAGATGATGCCCTGAGCCGAAACCAAGAGTCAGATGCTCAGCCAACTGGGCCACCCAGGGCACCCCTGCTCTTTTTCAAGATTGGTTCGGCTCTTCTGGAGTTACACTGTATTTGTAGGTCAGTCTGGGGAGTGCCACTACCTTAACAATATTACTTCTGATCCATGAAATGGAATGTTTTTCCATTTATTTATATATTCTCTAATTTCTTTCAATAATGTTTGGTAGTTTTCAGATCTTAAGCTTGTATTTCTCTTTTCTTAAATTTATTCCTACTTGGGTTTTTAAAAGATGCTATTGTAAACGGAATCATTTTAATTTCATTTTCAGATTTTCATTTAAAGTATATAGGAATGCAATTGATTTTTGTGTCTTGTTTTTGTATCCTGTAACCTTGCTGACCTTGTTTATTAGTTCTAATACCTTTTATTGGAGTGCTTAGGATTTTGTATATACAAGATCAGATCATCTACAGATGGGGATAGTTTTACCCCCTTTTCAATCTAGATGATTTTTACTTAGTTTTCCTGCCCTCAGTAGGACTTCTAGTACAATGTTGAATAGAAGTGGCAAGAGTGGACATCCTTGTCTCATTGCTAATCTTAGGGGAAAAGCATCTAATCTTTCACCATTAAGTATGATGCTATAGGATTTTCATAGATGTCCTTCATCAGACTTGAAGCAGTTCTCTCTATTCCCAGTCTGTCATTATGTAATGTCCCTCCTCTTTATTCCTGATAATTCTACTTATTCTGAAGTCTGCTTTGTTTGAAATTAATACAGTTACTACAGCTTTGTTTTGAATTGTGCTAAGCATTTTTCTTATCCCTTTACTTTTAATTTATCTGTGTCTTCATATTCAAAGTAGGTTTCTTGTGGGTAACATACAGTTGGGCTCTGTTTTTTATCCACTGTCAGTCTCAGTCATTTAACTGGCTTATGTAAATCATTCACATTTAAAGTGATTACTGGGGCGCCTGGGTAGTTCAGTTGGTTAAGCGACTGCCTTCGGCTCAGGTCATGATCCTGGAGTCCCGGGATCGAGTCCCGCATTGGGCTCCCTGCTCAGCAGGGAGTCTGCTTCTCCCTCTGACCCTCACCCATCTCATGCTGTCTCTCTCTCATTCTCTCTCTCAAATAAATAAATAAAATCTTTAAAAAAAATAAAGTGATTACTGATATTGCTGGATTAATATCTACCATACATGTAACTTTTCTATTCATTGCTCCTGCTCTTTTTTTCTAATTATCTGCTTTTTGTCTGCCTTCTCCAAAGGTTTTGTTTTGTTTAAGTAGGCTCCACACACAGTGTGGAGCCCAATGTGGGGCTTGAACTCACCACCCTGAGATCAACACCCGAGCTAAGATCAAGAGTCGGATGCTTAACTAACTGAGCCACCCAGGCGCCTCTCCAAAGGTTTTAATTGAGCATTTTGTTTCCATTCTCTCTCCTCTCTTAGTACATCAAATATACTTCTTCAACATTTTTGTTTAGTGGTTGCCCCAGAGTTCGTAGTTACATTTATAACCAATCCCAGTCTACTCTCAAATAGCACTACATTCCTTCAGGGGTGGCACAGGTGCCTTAG